ACCCAGTTTCAACAAGATCAACATTTTACTACTCTTATTTTATCTGTCCCCCTTTTGTGTTATAAATTGTTTATAATTTTTTCTGTTGCATATTTTCAAGGAAATCCAGACATCATGCCATTTCAGACTTTGCTAATATAGATGTCTCTTTGAACGGGAAGGCTGAAAAGTACACGCATGTTTGGGTCAGGAGCTTCTTTTGTCATGTAGACAAAGAGGTGACAGAAATCAGTGGCCTAAGGGTAGACTCTGATGAGCTTTATTTTGGGAGAGCTTTTGCAAGGACTGTTCTTGGCCTGGAGTTATGACAGAGATAACTCAACCAAGTATTTTCTCTGCTTCATTCTAGAGGGACAATGGAAGAGTTCGCTGCAGTGTATTTCGGAGATGAATAGGCTGTTTACTGGGAAGTGAGCATTGCCAGGTCTGGACAGCCCCTGCAGTCTGTTGGTTGACCTGGAAAGAGGCAAGGACGTGTCTTCTGTGTTCAGCAAATACCGAGACTTCATTCGTCACCTGCCATCCACCTCTCCAAGTACATTTTAAGTATGCTGGGATGTACTAGAGGTTTCTCAGACTCTCCATCTTGGCCCAGTTTGGGTTTCTGGGTCCATCTTTGTTTTTTTCCTCCAGGATTTCTAGACAGAAACACCTTGAACAGGTGTGCTTTCGTGAGCCAGCACTGGGCACCGTGGCTCATCAGGTCAGGATGGACATGTCGTCGCAATCTTCGTTCAGAACCAGATTTCTGTCTTGCAGTACTTCCTGGCGGGAGGGACCCCGAGACCCGCCTCACTTCCGTGTGGGAGGCTGGCCTGACCTTTCTCTCCCTGGCAGACCCTGGCTGGCCGCCCGCTCTGCATGGGGCTCCTTAGGCTTCCGCAGTCCCTTCCGTTTGGTCGGACTCCCTCAGTCACCATTTGCTCTCTCGTTGTCATGCGCCAGCGGGGCCAGCATGCACAGAAACCTCTCAGGAGCAGAGAGGCAGGCCCTTTCCAAAACCTCGCAAGACAGGGAAATGTTTGCCCCGGGAGTTTTGTTGCGGCTTATGCAATAAGAAAGCCACAAGTATGTTTCTGCGTCGCCTCATATGGCACAGAGACCATTCACAAGGCCACAAAGTATATTTTTAGGTTGAAAGGCAGTTTCCCTCCGGATAGTAATCATCTCCAGCATCTTTAGTTCTTAGTTTCTTGCTGGAAGCCTCGTCCTAAAGCATGGGTTCTTGGTAGCTTGGGTTTTTCCCAGTAGAGAGGTGACAGGACGAGTGTAGGGTGGAGGCTGCTGCCGCCATCTCCCGCTGGCTGCAGGCATCTGGTGTTCCGCCCCTCCTCCCGTCAGTCGCACACACGGCGGCACAGCTGGCCGGCCGGGCCTTCCTTCTCAGCCAGGGCTTACCCGTCTTTCAGCTTTTGCAAGAACTACTTTTTCCTTCCTCCTGGAGAATGGAAGCAAGAGCAGCCCTTTCTGTCTTTCCCAGGGGTCCTACACGAGGGGAATAAATCCTAATTACGCCAACAGGCTGCCTGTCCCAGTCCCTAAAGTGACAGATGAGGGGAAGCGTGCGCGTGCAAAAACCAGAAATGGAAGCCGAGAACGAAGGTGGGTTCCAGCAGCACCTGGGACAGTGGCTGTGAGTGTCCCATTCTCAGCAGCCACTGAAGGCTGAAGCGCAGACTCAGCCCTTGAATAAGGACTGAGGACCACAGCAGGTAACGGCCCCTAAGGGAGACCAGAGTTCTTCCTGGTTGCCACTGACTTGCCAGTCACCTCCTCTTCTTAAGCCTGTTTCCTCGTCTGTTGAATGAGCGGGTGATCTGGTTGTCCCTCGGTTCTTCCTTACTTCAAACCCCATGGCATGTTCTGAGTCCACGGCCTAGGCCACTTAGGGAGAGTTGCAGGCCAGGAGCCACGCTGGCCACAGCCGGGCTTCCCCTCAACACTATCAGGCCTGCCTCTGGGGCGGCAGGCGTTGGCGGCTCAGGGACAAGGACGCGTGGGGAGGGCCAGGGCTGGCCCGGACGTCAGGGCCTGGAATGAGTTCAGCTTCCTTGTCTCTCACTTCCAGGGTCCTTTTCGTTACAGGAAGGAGAGAGTTAATTGACTGTAGCCTCCCCACCAATTCTTGGGCAGTGATGAAGAAGGGTAATTGGAAGGCTCTTGGGCTCGGTGCCTTGCCCGTGCAGGCCTGGTAGTCATTGCTAAGCCATTACATTCCTGCCCGCTCCTCTCTGCTCAAGGTCCCTCTGTTTCAAAGTCTATTCAACTGGCCCAAAAAGGGTACGAAATGAGGAGTGGGCCGGGCGCGGTGGCTCACGCCTGTAATCCTGGCTCTCTGGGAGGCCGAGGCGGGCGGATTGCTCAAGGTCAGGAGTTCGAAACCAGCCTGAGCAAGAGCGAGACCCGTCTCTACTATAAATAGAAAATTAATTGGCCAACTAACATATACAAAAAATTAGCCGGGCATGGTGGCACATGCCTGTAGTCCCAGCTACTTGGGAGGCTGAGGCAGCAGGATCGCTTGAGCCAGGAGTTTGAGGTTGCTGTGAGCTAGGCTGACGCCACGGCACTCACTCTAGCCTGGGCAACAAAGCGAGACTCTGTCTAAAAAAAAAAAAAAAAAGAAGAAATGAGGAGTGATCTGACTGTAGCTCCCCATGAGGAAGTTGTATGTTATAAATTAGAATTTGAGAGATAAAAGCATCCAGAGAGATGATGTAGCCTGTGTAGACAGACATGCTGGGGACAGACGGTCACGCGAGGGAGGAGCGGGCGGTGGGCAGTGGAGGGTGGGGGCTGTGCTGTGGTGAGTGGGGAGTTGATCCCATCCCAGCAGCCAGTTGCTGCTCAGCTCCTGCCGATTATTGCCTTGGGGCGCTGTGGGCTTGCCCCAGCATCTGGCCTTCAAGAGAAGATAGAAATCCAAACTATCACATGAAACCTCTTTCCCTAAATGCTGGCAACCAAATAAAAGCATTTCATAAAACGACGTGGGCCAGAAAAAAAGCACATTTGTGAATCTCATTGGACCTGCAATTTTTCATTTCTGAGCTGGTCCACTCACCTATTTTATAGATAAAACAACTGAGGCTCAGAGAGGTCAAGATTTCCCCTCCAGTTGAGTGATAAAGGCACGATTCGAATGCAGACCTGCTCTTTCCAAGCCTGTTGCTCTATTGAGTGTAAGAAAATGCATGCCCTTCTTCCTTGGGTGAAGTAGTTAGTAATGGCCCAACAACAAGGACTGCTCAGAAGTGTTTGATGTTCTAGGAACGCATAAGTTAAGAAAAGGGAGAGAAATAGGAAAAGCAGCATGGAGACTGGAGAGAACAGCGAGACTAAGCAGTTACGGGGTCTCCAAGGAGGCTGTGAGTGCCCCGAGGGGAGCCGACGGCCATGAACACAGTGGCACGCCAGGCATGGAGCCGACGGCGTGGCCATACACCATTTGCTTGGTATTCACCGTGGGTCAGGGAGGATCATCACTCCTGGTTTATGGATGTGGACATTAAGGATGTGATGTCGGGAAACTTGCCCACAGTCTCTGGCCAGTGGTAGAGCTGGGATTTGAACCCAGGTCTTTTCCCTCCCAATGACTCTGCCAGGTGGCTTCTAGGGCTCACAAAACTTAGGAGATGAGCAAAGGCCAGGGAATTCCCGCCTGGGCCAGGAGAAGCTGGGAGGACGGGTTGGATTCAAGCCAGGATATGGGACGGTGCTCGGACACTGGAGGGGAGGCAGGTTGGCAGAGTCCTCTGGGGGCCGACTTTTCGGTGGGCATCGCTATGTGGTTAAAGATTTAGGAGGAGAGTGAGCGGAGGAAAGAGGGCCTCGGGGAAGAGCCTAAAGGCATGGAGAAGGCTAAGGTTTTGGAAGGAGACTTCAGAGGAGAGGTTCCCAGGAGGACTCTGGGCTGCAAACACAATCTGTGGGCTTCTTTGCTTTCATGATAAACTCAGTCTACTTTTTTTCCCCTGCCAGTCTAGTGTGACTGTTATTTCCTGCTTTTTGAGGGTGGTATATGGCTGGGAAGAAAAGTGGAACTGGGAGTCCAATTCAGTCATCTATGCCAGACTTTAGCGTGCCTGGCATGCCTTAACTGCTCAGGAAGTGTGCAATGGAGGAAGGAGGGACGGAGGGAAGGAAGAAAGGAAGGAAGACAAAAGGAGGAAAGGAAGGAAAAGAGGGAAAAAGGAAGAAAGGAAAAAGGAAAGAAGGAAGGAAGATGGAAGGAAGGTAGAAGTAAGGAAGGAAGGAAAGAAGGAAGGAAGGAAAGAAGGAAGGAAGGAAGGAAAGAAGGAAGGAAGGAAAGAAGGAAGGAAGGAAGGAAAGAAGGAAGGAAGGAAAGAAGGAAGGAAGGTAGAAGGAAGGATGGATGGATTGATTGAGAAGCAGAGGAGAGTACTCCTGTTGAGGCTTGATAAAATTTATTTCTCCTTCCTGAGACACCTCTTCTGTAAACTGATAGGAACATGTTGAGCTGCTTGTGAGGCAGCTGTAAGAACAGATGGAAGTTGCAGACGTGTGAACGCCTGGAGATGCGAATGCATAGAGCGTGAGCAGTGATTCCACACAGGGCTTAAGTTCCCATGGGTGTGCTTTGTGCTCTCAGGTACCTGGACTATAACTGTGAAACCCCAATTTCCATGCAATGGCCGGGCACACGGTACCCGTGGTCATACCCTTTGTGAGTTCATTTTTGGAAAAGTTGTATAATCAGTGACATGTGGAATTCAGCCTCAAAAGTTCATAGAATTAGAACACACAGAAAATATAAAAAGGTGAAAGTAGAATTAGGCCGCTTGACTCTGCACTCTAACTCGTGGATCACTTTGGTGCCTGCTCCTGGGCCCCTCCCCTTCACACACAGCAGCAGCCGCAGACTTCCACGGAAGAATCCAGAATCCTCGGGGCCTGTGCCTTTGCCAGGGGGACCCTAGGGGTCTGGGACTGTGGGTAAAGGTGCCGCCATACTCTGACTCCAAGTATTCCATTGTTAGAATGACTACAGCCTGTGGACCGCATACCAGAACCAGGAAACCCAGCAGGTCATGATGGAGGAGAGAAACGTTTTCTGCGGGACCTACAACGTCCGCGTCATCTCCGACATGTAGGTGCCAGGGTCAGAGCCTCGGTCTCTGGGACCCTTGAGTCACTCGCACTTGCATCCCGGATTCCCCTGGCCCTTGTTTGCTTGGAAATGTGGTCCTCTCCTCCCCTCCAGCTCCAGCCCCGAATTCCCACGACATTGGTGCTTAATTTTGCACCGTTCTCGGCAGTGGGTAGAGAACACTTTCCCTTTATAAATTTTGTGTATACTGACCAGCAACCTTTTGCACAAGTCACATTCATGAAATCTTTATTTTTTTCAGATATTTTTATCATTATTATTATTTTTTTGAGACTGAGTCTCACTCTGTCACCCAGGCTAGAGTGTAGTAGCATAATTGTGCCTCATTGCAGCCTCAGACTCCTAGGCTCAAGTGAATCTCCTGCCTCTGCCTTCTGAGTAGCTGAGGCTACAGATGCCCACCACCATGCCTGGCTGATTTTTTCTATTTTTAGTAGAGATGGGGTCTCCCTGTTGCTCAGGCTGGTCTCGAACTCCTGAGCTCAAGCTATCCTCCTGCCTTGGCCTCTCAGAGTGCTAGGATTATCTTTATTATATTATTTTAATTTTAGAAGTAATATATGCTTATTGGAAAAAAAATCCTCCAAGTACCAGAAAATGTATAGAGAAAGCAGAGATCTCCTACAATCTTGTCCCCTAGAGATAACCACCATTAACATTGATGTGTACCCCTTCTAGAATTTGCTCTTTGCACACATAGCATGTATTTTAAATAGAAATGGGGAAATGCTGCATACATTTCTGTAACCCAATTCAGCAAATTACTGTGGATATCTTTCCATGGTAAATATGAAAATTGTATTTATAATAATTGCATAATGTAACATTATTTGGTTACACTATTAAGAAGAAGGCCCTTTAATAATCAACTTTCTGCCATACTTTAGACCTAAGACTTTGGTTTTTATTCATAAGGTTTTAGGAGGGCCATCTCTACTTTATTTTTGGCCATTAATCTTATTAACAAATTGCATCTTGAAAGTAGACCAGAAAGTATGGGGAAGACAAAGCAGACAGGGAAAGGCCAAGTTGAGTTTTGTGGACAGTGTGGCAATGATTGCTCTGTAGAAGAGACGGTGACTGAACTCCAGATATGACAAACGGAATGAGGAAAAAATGTGAAAAATTACTCCTCTATTTAGAGTGACTATACATCCCTGTTTATTGGAGTAATCCCACTTTACTCTGTAGTCCTAGTGTACTTAATAATAGTGTCCTCTTTCACAATAAAAAAAATGTGGACAATAATTATTTGATTATCCTGTACATATTGCACCTATTTGCTAATAATCCCATGATTTGAAAGTTAGTTCAGGCCGGGCGCATTGACTCACACCAACGCAGGCAGAGGCGAGCAGATCGTTTGAGGTCAGGAGTTCAAGACCAGCCTGAGCAAGAGCGAGACCCCTGTTACTACTATAAATAGAAAGAAATGAGCTGGACAACTAAAAATATATAGAAAAAATTAGCCTGGCATGGTGGCACATGCCTGTAGTCCCAGCTACTCGGGGGGCTGAGGCAGGAGGATCACTTGAGCCCAGGAATTTGAGGTTGCTGTGAGCTAGGCTGATGCCACGGCACTCTAGCATGGGCAACAGAATGAGACTCTGTCAGAAAGAAAGAAAGAAAGAAAGAAAGAAAGAAAGAAAGAAAGAAAGAAAGAAAGAAAGAAAGAAAGAAAGAAAGAAAGAAAGAAAGAAAGAAAGAAAGAAAATGAGTTCAACTCACCTGGTTTTATTGGACTATAAGCCCACTGAAAGTGCATTGCCAGGTCTATATCTTATTTTCAATGGTACCCACTAGCACAGGCCTTTGAGCCTAATGTATGCTCCTTGGATATCCATTAAAGGAAAAAAAGAAAAGAAAGCGATGTGTGTAAGGCTTCCCAACTGTGTTCCTCTGAGCTTTTCCATGAAGAAAGGTTTCCGTGGTCAAATAAATCTAGGCAATGCTACATGCTCTATTCTCTCTCTTTGGGATTTAGCATACCTTAGCAGAATTTTTTTTTTTTTTTAAATTTTGCCTTGTGTCTTTAGATTTTAAATCTACCTGAAATGCATTTTTGTCATGGTATAAGGGTAGGGATTCCCTCAGGGACTGTTAATACTCAGCCGCCTTCTGTTGCCTCCCTTCTCAAAAGGCCTTCAATTTTGCATGGCACCGCCGTTGTATGCAAAAGTCACCCGCTATGTAAGTTCCAGGGAGGACCTGAACTCTGCCTTCATGGATAACCCTTTTCCCCTGGCAACTCAGGTGGGACAGAAACAGAGTCATCCACTATGCTGGGGGAGATTTGGTGGCCGTGTCATCTAATCGGAAGATCCACCTTCTGGACATCATGCAATTCACGAAGTTACCCATGGAGTTCCGGGGCCACGCCGGGAGTGTCCGGGCCCTCTTCTTGCGTGAGGAGGAAAAGTTTCTCCTAAGCGGAAGTTATGATCTAAGTATCAGGTGAGAGGTCTGAGGACAGGGTCCCCATCCACCTGGGGCCCCAAGGCAGCTTGTGGAAGGAGTGCGGCTGCTTTTTCCTATTTATATTTATTGAAAAATGGTACTGACTTCTAGAATATCTACAACGTTTTTCTTTTGGCAGTGTAAAATACAAGCATTTACATATCGTTTAAACTTTGGATGAAATAGATTTGTAACAATTATCAGATATATTTTCTAGTTGATTACTATGAATCGGAAAGGTTTCTTTTTTTTAGCGTTCATAGATGAAGACATAATTTATATTTCTTCTTATAGATTCCTTCAGGGGTAAGTAGTTTTTTGTGGGAATAAAATACAGTATAGAAGCAAAATAGTGTTTAAAATGTATTTATACATATATTTTTAAACAATTCAATTAACATCCATATACCCATTACTCAGGCCAAGAAATAGGAGGTAACCATGCTCCACAACTCTCCTGTGTCCTTCTCTTCTTGCTTCTTTCTTCCTTCCAACCAGAGGTAATGTTGTCCTAAGTTTTATACTAATTATTCCCTTGGTATCTCTTTATAGTTTTCACTTTCTGCTTATATATCTCCAAATATATTAATTACTTTTGCCCATTTTTGACCTTAATATAAATAGAATCATATTTTTAGAATTCATCAGTACTCAATTCTTACATTGAACTGTGTTTTTGAGATTCACCCGTATGATTTGGGTAACAAATTAATTTATTTTGATGGAGTTATAGTATTTTATTGGATGATTGTATCATAACTCATTTATGTATTTTTCCCTTGGCGAACATTTGCACTGTTTCTAGTTTTTAATTCTTTCAAAGAATGCTGCCATGGACATGTTGTTTGGTGCTCACGTGCATGAGTTTTTTTAAAGGTATATTCTTAGCAGGAGCATTCCTAGGAAGGAGTACTAAACTGGTTTCCAAAGTGGTTGTGTTAATTTACATTCCCACCAGCAGGTTATGAGAATATCCCTTGTTATAGATCCTCACCAATGCTTAGTATCGTCAGTCTTTAACAGTTTTGTCGATCTGATGGGTATTGAATAAAACCCAGTGGGTTTTATTGGGGTTTTAATCTTAATTAATTGCTAATGAAGTTGAACACCTTTTTGTATGTGTATTAGTCAGAGTTATGAACCAATGGGATTTGTATACATATAGAAACATAGAAAGAGATTTATTATAAGGCCTTGACTTGCATGATCATGAAGGCTGACAAGCCCAAAATCTGCAGTGTGGGCCAGGAGGCTGGACACCAGGAGAGCTGACGGTACTGATGAAGCCCAAGGCCACCTGTTGGAGAATTCCCTCTTGCTTGGGGAAATCAGACTTTGGTTCTATTCAGGCCTTCAGCTGACCATACGGGGCCCACCCACATTACGGAGGGCAGTCTGCTTTGCTCAACGTTCACTGATTTAAATGTTAACCTCATCCAATAACACCTTCCACATTGACACCTAAAATTCACCATCATAATATGTTTTGGACCCATTTGTGCTTCCTCTTCTATAAATTGATGTTCAGTGCTTTATTTATTTTTTTTGCACTTTTTTGTTGATTTATATATCCTTTTCTTTTTGATTCATACGATTTTTTTGTAATTTCTGGATACTAATTCTTTATTTTTGTGTTGCAAATTTCTTTTTCTAATTTGAGACTTGTCATTTCACTGTGGTATCTTTCCATGAACAGGAATTCTTAACTTTGATGTAGTAGCATTTGTAAATGGTTAATGCTCTCTGCGACATGTTAAGATTCCTTCGCTACCTTAAAGTCATAAGATAGCCTCCTGTGGTATCTTTTTTAAAGTTTAAAAAATTATTTTTTAATTTTTTTGTTTTGTCTTTCATCTTTAGGTCTTAAATTTACCTAATGTTTCAAAAAAACCTAGTTTTTGTCATGGCATGAGGTAGGAGTCCAATTCCTTCCTATTTGGATACCCAATTATCTCAGCACCATTTATGGAAAAGACTGTCTTTTCCTCCACTGCTCTGTGTTACTGGCTTTGTCATAAGACAAGTGTCAATATATTTCTATTTCTGGACTCTCCATTCTATTTCATTTGTCTGTTTGACTATCCTTGGTCAATACCACACTGTCTTAATTACTTTAGTTTTTAAAGTCTTTATATCGAGTAGGGCAAGTCCCCCATCTCATTCATCTGCAGAGTGTTTTAGCTATTCTTGGAACTTTACACTTCCATCTAAATCCTTTTTGTTTGTTTTAATTCATTTTTGGACTTTGAATACAGAGGATTGAGCTGATTATACTTCTCAGTTCATGTCATATTATTATTACTGGTCTGTATAAGGCTCCATTCCTGTATTCATTCATTCATTCATCTCTATTCTTCATTCCAGTTCTCTTCCCCGCATGAATTATCACCTAATCTTTCTTAATGTGTATCTTTTTATTTATTTATGTGATCTTTCAAAATGTGTGCTGAAGTATTTTGTGCATGTATTTATAATTCACACCCATGGTATTGTGGTAACCCCCTCTTGGTTTCTAACTTTTGCACCTAGCCTATGTTTCAAAGATTCATCTATTATCATGCATCTAGTCAGCTGTTTATAGCTGTTGTGTAGCACTCTGTGGCCTGCATACATGGTTTGGCAACTTGCTTCTCTAGCGATGGGCTAGGTTGTCTGCGAATATTGCTGTATTGAACATCTTTGTATATGTCCCTTCGTGGACACTGTGAGGTTCTTTTTAGGAATATGAACCCAGGAGTGGACTTGCTGAGACATAGGTTAGCAGCACCTAGTTTAACTAACTTCAGTACCAGACTGAAGTCTGGAATGACCATACCAGTCTGCACGCTTCCCAGCAGGACCATGTGTCTCTGCTTACAGACCAATGTTGGACACTATCTAGCTTTCTAATTTCTGCCAAATGAATATGTGTAAAATCATATCCACACACATTACTAATGAGTTTGCTGATTCCTTTTTGTGACTTCTTCTTTTGTATTATAAATTGTCTGATCATGTCCTTTGCCTACTTTTCTATTGGGGCCACTCTAATTTTCTTAGTGATTTGCAGTTCCTTATATTTCCTTATATATATTACTCTTTTGTTAGTTTTAAAATTGCAGATATCATCTCTATTGCTTAATTTATCTATTAGCTTTGTTCATAGTATCCTTTGTTGAACAAAAATTCCTAATATGGATGTAATAAAATTTATCACTTTATCAGGTTTTTTTTTCCCCCTCTCATGTCTGTGGTTCTTCCCACTTCTAGGTCACAGAGATATTTTGTATTATTTTCTTTTCTTCTATCAAGGTTATAGTTTCACCTTTCACATTCAGTTCTTTAAAACATTTGCAGCTCAACTTTGTATGTGGTGTAATGTAGGGTTTACATTTTATTTGTTTATTTTTAAATGAAGTGAACAGTTTCCTGCATAAATGAAGGAAATTAACCTGGACACAGGGCCTGCCATGTTGTTGGAAACGGAAATTTGAAACATGCTTTCTTTCAGAGCACTGGGACATTGCTCTGTGCACTGTGGCTGCAGATTAGGCTCTGACAGACCGGTAAGACATTGGTAAGGCTGCCGGACCTTTGGGAATATTAGAAGAAAATGCTTAACATATTCAAAAAAAATGCAAAAGAAACATTTATTAATCATTTATTATGTTCCAAGACTCACAGTAACTTAAGAGCAGTAAATACCATTATTCCCCAATTTACAGATGGTGAAACTGAGGTACAGGGTGGTTCTGTTACTTACCCAAGATCACATAGCTAGTAAGTCATGCACCTGGGACTGGGCCTCAGGCAGCCTGCCTCTGGAGCACATTATCTTAACATTTCACTTTGTCCTGTCACTAACGCAGCCTGGCTGACGTGGACGTCTGTAACAGTGACAGTTGAGAGGCAGAGTGGCACACGTCTGCTGTCCCAGCTGCTGATGAGGCTGAGGTGGGAGGGTCACTTGAGTCCATGAGTTCCCAGGCCAGCCTAGGCAACTTATTGAGACCTCATCTTTGGTAAATAAATTAATGAATGTGTGACTCATACATGTTCCCATATCTCTTAGATATGCTTTAGATATACATAGGGACAGATAGATATACTAAATGACTGTGGTAGATTATTCTCTCGCTTTTGTTTGAAGATCATTTCCACCGTTGAGTCAGTGCCATGCATTCTAAGCCTGGTGGTCATTCCAGGGACTCTTCCACCTAAAACCACCTAATATTCTCAGGCATTTTCCACGAGTTAGTTACTGTTCTAACGTCACATGCATTAGTACAGAGTTTCTCAACTTCCACACTATTGACAGCTCGGGCTGGAAAATCCTCTGCTGTGGGGCTGCCCTGTGCAACATCGGGTGTTTGGCAGCATCACTGGCTGCCACGCACTAGATGCCAGTGGCACTTCCCTGCCCTCTTGTGACCACGAAAACTGTCTCTAGATGTTTCCAAATGGTCCCTCAGGGTAGAAATCCCCCCCTGGTTGACAATCACTGCATTAGTGCACTTAATTCTTCACAAAACCAGTGTGAGGTAGCTACTATTATTATCACTTCTGCTTCACCAATGAGGAAATGAGGCTGACATAGAAATAAAGTAACTTTCTCTAAGTTACACCAAATAGGTGCTGTGACTGGCATCCGAATCCGGGCCTCGAGCTCTAAGTTTAACCATGAAACTCTGCTGCTTTCCAACTACTTACTGATCTAAAGGGACTCTGTATGGGATGATCCCTTGGGCCCTCAGAAAATCTCAAAAACTTTTTTTTGGCTTCATTCCTGCAGATACTGGGATCTGAAAAGTGGGAGTTGTGTACGAATCTTCAATGGCCACCAGGGGACGATCACTTGCATAGATTTGTATAAGAACAGGCTAGCATCGGGAGCAAAAGATTGCCAGGTGAAAGGTGAGAAAGAAATGCCTTAAAACTTTCTAAGAAGTTTCCCCAAATCCATGGGTCACCAAAATGCTTGTTTTGCTCATTTCTAGAGGCAATCGTTTATTCTTTTATCCATCCATCCATCCGTCCACACTGCATATCTCCACCAGCCTGTCTGTTCCATGCTGCCGAGTCCCTACAGTGTGAGACATGCTGCGCTAGGTGCTGACGAGGAGAAAGTGAATATGACACAATCCCTTCAATATGGCTTTTTATTTCCTCGAGAGGCTCACAGCCTCTCAGTGGAAGCAGATGCGTGGATATAGAATGGGGCATATGATAAATGCATGAACGATAGCAGCTGCCATTTAGTGAGAGTGCCAACTTTGTGACGGGCACTGTGACAGTTGCTTTCTATATATTATCTTATTTCATCCTCACAAGCGCTCCATGAGGTGGATGCTGATGAGGAATCCAAAACTCATAGAGAAAAACAACTTGCTCCAATCAAGCTGCTAAGTGGTGGTCAGGGGGGTGCACACCCAAGACCACGGTCTCTAAATCACATGCTCCTAAGCACATGCAGAGTTCTAAGGGACTGTACGAATAAGAGTGAAGTCGGGAAAGGTGTGCAGGCATGGGCTCTCTGAGTGTGGTCTTGAGGTGCTGTTTCGTGTGGCGGGACTGTCGGTTGTGGCGCTGTAGGTAAGGCTGGTAACTCTGTGTGGGGCCAGATCATAAAGGGCCTCTGCAGCAAGGAACAAAGCTGCGCTGCATCCTGGGGGCATGGAAAGCCAGGAATGCATTTTAAGTTGGGAACTGACGTGATCAAATGTGTACTTTAGAGAGAGAACTCCAGTGACAGTTTGGAAGAAAGATTCAGAGAGAGGTGACTATGTGGAGAGAGGGGACAAGTTAAGATGCTGTTTGGTCTAGACAACTGCCACGGTGTCTTCTGTTATCTGAGAGCAAGCAAGTGGGAAGAGACTGGACAGATGTGACTTTGCATTCCATGGGCCAGACCAAAGGGAGAGCCCTCAGGGTGAATTGGCAGGTTTTACCCCAAACTGGATAGGAAAAGCAAGGAAGGTGGAGGAGCAGAGATGATAAAGCTACTGGGTATATGGAAAAGCCATTAATGGAAATAGGGACTCCAGGGGAAGAACAGGGTAGGGTGAGAATGGGGAGGAGGTCACAGGTTCAGCTTTGGACATATTGAGTATGGTAGGCACAATAATGGCCAACCAAAAATGTTTACGTCCTAATCCTTGAAATCTGTGACTATGTCATCTCACCTGGCAAAAGGGATTTCACAGATGTGATCCACTTAACAGCTTAAATCGGGGAGATTATCCTGAGTTATTGGGGTGGGCCCAATGTAATCACACGCATCCTTAAACACAGAATCTGTCTGGGCTGTGACGAAAGGGAGATGTGACCATGGAAGATTGAATGGTCAGAGAGACACGGCATTGCTGGAGGAAGGGGCCACGGGCCAAGGAGTGTGGGCAGCCTCTAGAAGACGGGCAGGGAAACGGGTGTCCCCCGGCTCCCCGACCCTCCGTGAAGGAAAGTGTCCCTGCAGACACCTTGGTTTTAGCCTTGTATGATCACACTGGATTTCCATTAGATGCCACATTGGTGTTGTTTTCAGCCGCTAAGCTGTGGGCATTCATCATAGCAGCCATAGAGAGCTAATATATGGACGATGAGATTCCTGAGGGCGCCCAGGTGAGAATTACTGGAAGGCAGGTGCAGTTGTGGATATGTTGGTCCGGGCTCCCAGATATGTGCACCTGGTAGCTGTCAGTCATAGTGAAAGGTGGGAACCCCAGGTACAGAAAAGATTCCCCCTAGAAGAATAACAGGGAAGGGTGAAAAGAGAAGAGAATCAAGGAGCCTGGGGAGCCACAGCAGGTTAGGAGCAGGTGGAAGGTGATGAGGGACAGGGGCGGTGCTTAGGAAATCTCACTCCACCTCCTCTCCCCGCCCGGCCTGACCAAGAGTCATTGCCAAGACTGCCTTGAGGAGGCCGCGGAAAGGGTGAGAGCCACTGAGGGGAGGGTTGAGATGGAAGGGCAGCGCGGCCCCCAGTAGGCAGGAAGAGGCTCTCGGGCCACCGGTAGGGCCAGGACTGGGGGTGAGGAGTTAGGCCCTTGCCTGAGATGTAAAATTTAAGGGGGCACCAAACAACTCCTCAGTGATCAAGATACACATTTCAGTGCAATACTTAAAAAGGCAAAATTAGCGCACAAAATCCATGATGAACAAATTTCAAAATCTCTCTCGCTTCACCCTAATCCTGGTCCTGGCCACCAGCCTGCCTGGATTGCAAAAATAGAATGAACAAGGAGAAAGGAGACTATTAGAGACCTGAAAGGTAACCCTTCACTTTTAGAATTCTTTAAAATTCACCTTACCAGTGAATCTTTTAATTCATCTTTCAATTTTCTCACTGGTAATTTTATAAATGGGCCAAGATATATACATAAGAAATAAGTGAAGAAAAGCATACTTAACATAGTTAGAGTTAACCTAGCATAAATGGTTAAAAGCATGGTGTCTGGGTCCAGATTCCCTGGGTTCAAATCCCAGCTCTGCCATGCACCACCTGTGGGACCTTCAGGAGGTAACTGAACCTTTCTGTGCCTCAGTTTCCTCAACTTTGTAGTGGGAAATAATCATAGTACCTGTCTCACGAAGGTGAGTTAATCCATGTATTGTTATTGTAACCAGCTTGAATGGTTCCTGGCTCATTGTCCCACGTAAGTGTCAGCCACAGTTATCTTTGTCTCCAGCCACTCAGTCTCTTGCCTAGGGAGGAAGGTGCTTGGGGACTGAGGAAGCAGACTTTAATGTTCCATTCCTGCATTCAGGGTGCCCACTGTCAGACCCTTCCTTTCAGCTCTGTTCCCCCACCGCCCTCCACTCTCCTCCCCACCCACCACCTGCAGGGTGCCAGGAAGCTGCTCTAGCCCGTCGGTGTGGAAGCAGCAGCTCTATAAAGTCCAAAAGTCAGATTCAGAAGTATTTAAAAATATAAGTGAAGGTAGACAACTTTCTTTTCTTCTGAGGATGGAAAGTGTGGGTCAGGAAGACAGTGTCCGGGAGGAATGACAACACCAAGCGTAGCCATGGGTTTCATCAGCTCTATCCCACAGCAAGCATTCTTTCAGGCTTGAGGAACAGGCTTATTGCAGACAAGCCGTCTAGCACGTGGACCCCAAGGCTAAGTTCTAGGTCAGAGCCAAGGTCTTCTGCAGTGCCAGCTCCCCCAGGGGCCACCCAGGGCTGGGCGGCCGTGTTGCCGGTGTGTGGAGCTGGTGGCGAGCCTGCGCTGGGGCTGCAGGCCAAGCCAGGGCCTTCTGGGGTCTGATTTGAAGGGCTGGGCTGGTCCTTGCTTCTGCGATGGGGGGTGGAACGGCGCTGGAACGGCTGCCCCCTCACCTCCCCTCTCCTCCTGTCTCTCTTCCTCTCTCCTTCTCCTCTTCAGAATGGGATTTAGACACAGGGAAGTGCCTGAAGACATTTAAACACAAAGACCCCATCCTGGCCACCAGGATCAATGACACCTACATTGTGAGCAGCTGTGAGCGAGGGATAGTCAAAGTGTGGCACGTTGCCATGGCCCAGCTTGTCAAGGTGAGGGGGCGGGCGGCTGGGGCGGGCCGTGGTGGTGACGGATTGGAGGACGGAGGGATCCCCACACAGCTCCCAGGCCATCCTGGGGGAGGCCCCAGAGGGGGCACTCTGAGTCCGTGGAGGGAAGGGCCCGGCCTGCGTGCGACCCTCGCCATCCTGGGTGCAGAGTGGGAGGCGGGTTCTGACGCAGCAGGGCCTTAGGGCCTTTGCAGGGCAGCAGAGGTAAGGCGCCTTTCTCTCTTCCAGAGTATTCTACCCTGATGAGAGGTAGAATGAGGGGATGAACAAGGCATTTTCCCCCTCCTTACTCTGGTTGTAAGGAGAAAACACTGGGGGATGAACAGACATTTCTTTTCTCCTTACTTGCTAATGAGGAGAGAGCACGGGCAGTGTTGAGAGTGATTGGGTGCTCACGGAACATGTTCTTGCTGGATTTGAAGCCCTGGCCTTAGTGGGTGGTGCTGATATCTCATTTGCACCCGGAACACAGGATCATAGTGAAAAGGGGGCTGGCTTGGCTCGTGGATTTTCCCCGCCAGTCTTTCACTGTGGTGCAACCAGCAGCTGCAGGCACGGGGTGCCCCTTGCACTCCGGGTCCAGGCGAAGAGCGGTTGGGGCACCTTCCTGTCACTCGTCTGACAGCAGAGGACAGACAGCCCTCTCTGGCCCTCTCCGGTGCTCCAAGAAGATGGGGTCTGCCCAGCCACAGACCCAGTGGAGCTCGTTCCCCCGTAGCTGGGGAGAGAGACTTTGAGAGAGGGAGGCGTGGGCGCCGCTGGGCTCGCAGAGCAACGGGAAGGTCGGCTCAGGCACGTGCCCGTGGGTGGCTCTGGGATTCATCTGAGGCAGCCCCAGCTTTGGTTCTTGGAGGGGGCACGGTCTGAGTTGAAGAGGGGCTGACAGCAGCGGCATCTTTTCCTGCAGACTCTCAGTGGCCACGAGGGAGCGGTGAAATGCCTGTTTTTTGACGAGTGGCATATCCTGTCGGGCAGCACTGACGGGCTGGTCATGGCCTGGAGCATGGTGGGCAAGTACGAGCGCTGCCTGATGGCCTTCAAGCACCCAAGGTAGGTGCCGCTGCAGCCCGGACCGACAGACCTGGTGCTCCCCCCTCCCTGTCACAGCCCGGCCTGGGGGCTTGGCCAGGCCCTCTGTCCCCTGCCGACCTCGCATCCCCTCTGTGCCTCACCCACTTCTGCTTCCCTCCTTTTCCACCTGGCGCCCACTTTCCCACCATCGTCTCTGGCCATTCCCTCTGCCCCGTTGCTTGTTTCTCTCGAGAAATAATTCTGCTAGACGTGGGTTTTGAGAAGTTATTGAAATTTTATGTTTATGTTATGGCATACCTATTATTGACCAGACATATGAATACTAGCAGAGCCATCCCAAATAATGCAGAAGTTTCTTGGGCTTGGTCTTTATCCAGGAAGCTTGTGCTCATAAAAGCTTAAAATGATCCAAGTGCCAAAGGTTTAAAAACAGCCAAGGCCTTTAAGAAAAGGAGCTAATATCTAGATGTCTGTGGGCCAGATTCTATTTCAGGACAGCAAATGGATTTCATTTTACATTTCAATTCAAGGGTAGCGGTGGTGGCTGCTTGGAGCCAATTAGTAAGTATTCTGAAGTCACATCTGGGCTTATTTGGAAAGGGTATTGTGGTCGATTAATGACTCTGCCATGGTCCTGGGTATCAGGCTGCTCCACCCTACTCTTATACTATGTGAATAACGCGTCTTCCCCTGAGTGCATTATCAACATTTCCAGGAAACTAAATGCTATCTTAATTGATTTAAAAAGTGAGTGGAGTTTCCAAGGGATCTTTCAGGGTATATTTATCTTTGGTAATTTATGGCACCAGATATCCTTATACCCTCCTAGGAACCTTTGAGACAGGCACACTGGTCTTAGGGAAGGTGTAAGGGGGTACGCGCGTGTGTGTGCATGCCCGCTGTCTGTGGTGTGTGACTGAATTATTGACAGGTGGGTGCCAGGAGGGGCTTGTGTTCAGTGATTTTGCCAACCCTTAGATAATTATCAGTGAGCCTTTTAGCATGTCATCTGGACTATCAAGCCTTGATCTCAAGGAAGGAGTCAAACTTTATGATACCACCTGAAAATGGCAATTATATGTTTTTAAAACCTTCTTAGCAGGATTCAGTAGGATTTAGTTAGTTACTGGAAAATAATTTGTTTCCAGAAAACCCAGCAATTCGGTCACCATTCCATCACTTCATGAGTCTCCCCCTCCACTGCTGCTGTGAGACCTCAGGCAACACCTGTTTTCATTGAACGGCAGCCCCGACATCGCATTCGTGCTGGTTCTTGATGACAGGAAAGCCATAGACATCTGGAAGACATGGTCGATGCTTTCATTTATAGGGCCCCTTCTCCCTCAAGTCCTCAAAAAATATATCTAACTGATAGATAATGAGGACTAATTTGACAGATTGACTTTCTGGAGAGTTCTAATGATTGGACTGATACACATCTTTTGAATATGACGTAGGTGAGAAAACAGATATAATTACTGTCTGTCCTTTGGTGGCAGAAGGGCTGGAAAAAGGGGTCTCCTTTCTGTTTTCTTGATCCAACATGGTTTTCAGTCAAAATGAAGATTTTGCATATAGTGTGGGGCAAAGTGGATATGAGAGAGGCAGTTCGTGGATGTAAGGTAGGACTGACAGGAATGATCTTTAGGAAAGCATCTGTACTATATAGTGTCTTTTTTTAAAAAAAAGCTTTATTCTTCAAAATATTTTCCATGGCTCATATTGTAATTAGGCTTTCTTGGCAATTTTTAATTAGGATATGATTCACAAGACATAAAACTCATCACTTTAGTGTACAATTCAATGGGATTTTTTAAAGTATATTTATAATGTCATATAACCATCAGCATTATCTAATTATAAAACATTTCCATCAATCAGTAGAAATGTCCCCTTTCATCCTTGACGTTAGTAATTTGAGTCTTCTTTCTTATTTTCTAAGGAAAGATTTGTCAATAGTCTAGCTAGAGGTTTCATTCCCTATTTCATTCATTGCTGCTATAATCGTTATTAATTTCCTTCTTCTGCTTGGTTGGGTTTAGTTTCTTAAGGTGATCCTTTTCTAGTTTCTTAAGGTGAAAGTTTAGTTACTTTTTCTAGTTTCTTAAGGTGAAATGTTAGGTTATTGACTGGAGATATGTATGCATCTACTGCTATAAATTTCCCTTTGAGCACTGCATTAGCTACCTCCCATAAGTTTTGATATGTTGTGTTTTCATTTACACTCATATAAAAGTATTTTCTAATTTCCTTTCTGGTTTCTTCTTTGATCCAGTGGTTATTTAAAAACAGGTTCTTTAATTTCCACTTACTTATGAATTTTCTAAATTTCTTTCATTATTCATTTTTAATTTAATTCCATTGTAGTTAGAGAGCATACTTTGTATGCTTTCAGCCTTTCAAAATTTATTGAGCCTTGTTTTGTAGCCTGAAATATGGTTTATACTGGAGAATATTCCATGTGCAATTGAGATGGATGTGTACTGTGTTGTTTGGTAAACGGTTCTGTATATGTCTGTTAAGTCTAGACAGTTTATGATGTCTTTCATCTCTTAGATTTCCTTACCAATCTTCTACCTAGTTGTTCTATCCATTGTTTGAAGTATAGTAGTGAAGTCTCTATCCATGATTGTTGAGTCATCTATTTATCTCTTTAATTCTATCAGTTTTACGTTATATATTTTGGAGCGCTGCATTTATAATTGTTATATCTTATTGATGAATTCACTCTTTTATCATTATATAGTGTCTTTTTTTTTTTTTTTTGGTCTCTATTAACAATTTATCTGAAAGTCCATTTTGTCAGATATTAGTATAACCCAGCTCTCCTTTGGTATGAAATATTTTTTTCCATTCTTTGCCTTTAAACCTGTTTGTGTCTTAGAATCTAAAATGAGTTTCTTGTTGACAGCATATAGTTGGATAATGTTGTACTTATCCTTTCTTCCAATCTCTGCCTTTTAATTGGAGAGTTAAATCCATTTACAGTTAATGTAAAAAGGGCTGCTGTTATTTTTATATTTGTTTTCTATAGCTTATGTATTTTTTTTCTTAATTCTTCTATTACTGCCTTCTTTTGTGTTAAACAGGTATTTTTTGGTGTGTCACTTATATTCCTTTGTCATTTCTCTTTGCTATACTTTGAATGTGTCCCCCCAAAATATCATATGTTAGAAACTTAATCCCCAATGCAACAGTGTTGGGAGGTGTTTAGTTAGTAAAGGGAGGTGTTTAGGTCATAAGGGAAGCTGTCATGAATAGATTAATGCTGTTATCACAGGAGTGCCTTCCTTATGAAAGGACAAATTCTCCCTTTTTCTCTCTCTCTTGCCCTCTCTTTGCCCTTCTGCCATAGTATGATGCAGCAAAAACATCTTTGCCAGATACCAGAGCCTTGACTTGGACTTCCCAACCTCTAAACCATGAGGCAATAAATTTCTGTTGATTATAATTACCTAGTGTGCGGTGTTTTGGTATAGCACCACAAAATGGACTAAGATAGTTTTACTATATATTTCAAGTTATTTAATTAATAACCTGATAACCATTAATAACCATTAATTATTAGTGGTTGCCCTGGGGATTACAATTAACATCACAATTTGTAACAATCTAGTTCACATTAATACCAACTTAATTTCAATAGTATACAAAACTTTGCTCCTATGCAGCTCCTACTCTGAGAATACTGTTATTACAAATTATATCTTTATATGTTGTGTGCTCATCCTCACAGATTTATAATTATTGTTTTATGAAGTTGTATTTTAAATAAGATAGAAAAAAGAAGTTATAAACAAAAATACATCTGTACTGTCTTTTATTAATATATTTACCTAGGTAGGTACCTTTATTAACACTCTTTATCTCTTCATGTTGAGTCGAATTATTGTCCAGTGTCCTTTCATTTCCGTCTGAAGGACTCCATTAAACATTTCTTGTAAAGTAGGTCTGCCAGTCAGTAACTCTCAGTTTTTGTTTACCTGGGAATGTTTTAATTTCCTCCTTCATTTTTTAAGAATGGTTTTGATGGATATAGAATTTTTGGTTGACAGTTATTTTTTTTTTCCTTTTAGCACTTTGAGTATGTCATTCCATTATGTTCTGATTTCCATGGCTTCTGATCATAAGTCATCTGTTAATTTTATTGAAGATCCTTTTTATATGAGGAGCTGCTTCTCTCTTAGTGCTTTCAATATTCTAGCTTTCTCCTTGGTTTTTTGACAGTTTGATTATATGCGTTCTGGGTGTGAGTCTCTTTGAGTTTATCCTAGTTAGAGCTGAGCTTCTTCGATGTGTGGATTAATGTTTTTTATTATATTTGGCAAGTTTTCAGCCATTATTTCTTCAAATATTCTTTCTTCCTCTTTCTGGGCTCTCCTTCTGGGACTCCTATTATGCATGTGTTGATGTCTTTGATGGTGTCATAGGTTTTTGAGGCTCACTCATATTTCTTCATCTTTTTTCTTTCTGTTACACACCCTGGATAATTTCAATGACCTCTTTTCAAGTACATTGCTTCTTTTGCCTGCTTGAATCTGTTGTTAAGCCGCCCTAGTGAGTTTTTATTTCAGTTTTTGTGATTTTCACTCCAGAATTTCTACTTGAATTCTTTGGTAATGTCTAACTCTTTATTGATATTATCTATGGTGAGACACTGCTATCATAATTTTCTTTAGTTTTCTAGGGAAATTTTTCTTAACTATTTGAACACATTTAAAACAGATGATTTAAACCACTTGATTTTCTCTGGGACAGTTTCTATTGATTACTTTTTTCCCTGTGTATGGGCCATACTCTCTAGTATCTTTGTATGCTTTGTAATATTTTTTTGTAAAAAACTGGATTTTTAGCAGGGTGTGGTGGCTCACACCTGTAACCCTAGCACTCTGGGAGGCTGCACAGGAGGATCACTTGAGGTTGGGAGTTTGACAACAGCTTGAGCAAGAGCAAGACCCCGTCTCTACTAAAAATAGAAAAATTAGCCAGATGCAGTGGCATATGCCTGTAGTTCCACCTACTCAGAAGGCTGAGGCAAGAGGATTGTTTGAGCCCAGGAGTTTGAGGTTGCAGTGAGCTATTATGATGCCACTGCACTCTAGCCAGGGTGACAGAGCAAGACTGTCTGTTAAAAATATTTTTTTCTTAAAAATTTTTTTCTTTAAATTTCTTTAATTTTTTTTTAAGAGACAGATTCTTGCTCTGTTGCCCCCATTGGAGTGCAGTAGCCTGATCATAGTTCACTATAGCCTTGAACTCCTGGGTTCAAGCAATCCTCATGCCTCAGCCTCTTGAATAGCTGGGACTACAAGTGTGTGCCACCATGCCAAGCTAATTAAAAAAAATTTTTTTTGTGGAAACGGGGTTTTGCTATGTTGCTCAGGCTGGTCTTAAACTCCTGACCTCAAGAAACTCACCTGCCTTGGCCTCCCAAAGTGCTAGGATTACAATCATGAATCACTGTGCCCAGCCCCCATACTGAATATTTTGAATATTATAATGTGACAACTCTGGAAACCAGATTCCCCCCTATCCCCAAGGTTTGTTTTTGTTGCTGCTTATTGTATTAATAGTTTTTATTGTTTGTTTAGTTTGTTTAGGGACTTTTCTGAACTAATCTTGTAAAATCTGTATTCTTTGTCTTTGGCCACTAAAGTCTCTGTTTTATTACCTTGGTGGTGAGCAAATGACTGGACAGAGATTTATTTGAACACCTAGAACCAATTTTTTTCCCCACTGTTTGCCAAGGGGCTTTGTGTGCCTGTTGCTGGAAGACTTCAACATCCAGCCAGGTAGTTTACAACTCTATCCTGGCCCTTACTTCCTGCTCGCACAGAACATCAAGCTTAGCCAGGGATAAGAGCTTATGGCTTTCTCAGGTCTTTCTTGAGCAGGTACACAGCCCTGGGCATGTGTGTGGCATTTATATTTCTAGGAATATGTCTGAGTTTTTAAAAACCCTCATGGACATTTCATTCCCCAGCCTTTCCTCCAAAGCTTTCTGGTTAGTGTATTGTTTGCCCTAATGGACATCTATTGCCTTGGGTAGCAGTAACTACAACATTTGCCTATAAACATTTTCAACAAATGTCCCCCAGGTAGCAGCTTTAACAATGGATGAATTCCTAGTCAGGTGACATAAACACAAGCCTTTTGAGCCAGTCTTCCAGGAAGCTACCAGACAGGTCAAATAATGAATGAAGTCCATTCTATTCCCTCCAGTACCAGGAATGTGGGCTCTTATGTCCATGGCTACCATTAAGCTGGGCAGTGAGGAATGGGACTAGGGCAGGTTGATGGGCCACAAAGGTCACTGTTCTTACTGACACAAAGCCATTTTACTTGTCTAAGCACTCTCTGGGTTGTTGCACACCTTTGGTTTTTTCCCAGAGTTCTGGAAAAGTTGATTCTTATGTTTTTTTCTTTTTAAATGAGTTTTCCCATTGCTTTTATGGAAGGGAAGAATTTTGGAGTTCTTTGCTCTATCATTTTCACTGACATTACTCTCTGCAGTGTCTTTAATGAACAAGGAGCAAAGAAGCAAAGAAGGAGACAATTTATTTATCAGGCAGAGATAAAACCTGAAAGAAGACTGGGCTGTTTTAATAACATAATATCATTATTGTGTCAGGTACTGGGCTAAGTTTTTTAAATACCTTAATTAATTTAATCCTGACAGCAATCCTGTGAGGAAGAAATACTATCCCCATTTCATAGAAGGAAAAAAAAAAACCTGAAGATTGAGAGGTTACTTCCTCAAGGCTAAGCAGCCAATAAGTGGTAGAGTCAGGTTTTGATCCCAGATTTTTTGATCCCAAAGCCTATGCTTTTAATTACTACAATGGCACAGACGGACCAACCAGATGTCACAGCAACCTATGAGAAGGGAAGTGTGGGCTCGGCTCAGCAAGATCAAAAGAGATACACAAAGAGACAAACCCTTCTATCTCAGGGCATTTCTCCCAGTGCTCAGTTACTGAGTTGCTGCTTAGGGCAACAACAAAGTTATTATATTTTCATCTTGGAAAAGTTAGAACTTTGTTGGACTTTCCAATATTTATTTTACAACTTAATCCTAACGATCATCTATCTTATCTATCGATCACATAAGGAGGAGTTCAAGTCACATTGGCCTCCTTGCTGTCCTTTGAATGGGCTAAGCATGTTTCTGCCTTTTGGGGTCTTTGTTATTTCTATTTTGTTTGTGGTTAGGGCCATGAAAAATCTTCATCTGGCTCTGGGATCTGACCAAGGCTAAGATCAAATGGCATGGATAGATTCTTTTAACACACTGTAGACCATACTCTGAAAACATGAGCAGTCGTTTTTTTCACCAAATATATGTTGAGGGCCTACTATGGGCTAGGTGTCGTGCTAGGTAAGGAGCATTCAGTGATGAATAAGACATGAGCTCTCCCCAGGGAATCCGATAGTATACCTGAAGTTTTTATGCATGTGTGATGGGGAGGGTGAGATGGGGGGAGGAGACTGAGACAAGGGATAAGAGATAAGATGTGCTTTTTGGAGAAGGTAGCACTGAGCTAGGCCATGAATGGACTTGGCTGGGTAGACAAGGCAGGGATTGAGGGACTTGCTTTGCATATAGAATCTAACAAATTGGTGGCATTAAATTCAACTTTTCAGTGTCATTAACAGAAATGGGATAATTATAGTTCTTAGAATTGAATACTTCACATATTTGAGGTCCAGTGTGAACCCAGCTATTGTAGGGAGGTATACAACAAATCTTCTACTGCTCTCCTCTACTGCTCTCCTCTCTTCTACTAGTCATCACAAAAGGACACTCATAAATCTCATCTCTGGGTACGATTTTCCTTAAGGATGTTTCACTGAAAGAAGGAAAGCCACTAATTTAAGACCAAAAAGAAACTGCTAAAATAGAAGGTTTTTTCTTTATATAATCATTTTCCCTCTTGTTTTTTCTTTTTTTTATATGATATTATTTTAAAAGGAATCAAAACACTAAATAATTCTCAGCATGACTTTCGTATAAGTAGATAGCTAGGAATCAAATTGCAAGAGAAAAACATGATCATCTATATAATAGACCAAAAACAAACAAATAAAAACCTGGGACATCAGCTCTTTTGTTTTGCCACCTTGTGGCACTGTGACCTAGCTGCAGGAAAAGTAACTGCAGACTAGGAAGAGGTATGCCTTGAAAGTGCACGGTTTACATATCCAGGGTTATAAAGTGAGGCCAACATGACTTTAAGACAGTTATGACCACAGCCCCCCGACCACACACAGAACACCCCAGACTGTAGTCAAGCCCAAGCGGCTCGCCGGGTACTGCCTGTTGCTCTGTTCCCTTCCAGGGAGGTGCTTCACGTGTCCCTTCTCTTCCTCCGGGTCATCAGCGCCTGTGCAGACGGCAAGATCCGCATTTACAATTTCCTCAATGGGAACTGTCTGAAGGTGATAAAAGCCAATGCCAGAGGTGATCCTGTGCTGTCCTTCTTTATTAAGGGCAACAGGTGGGTGGTAAGTGTGGAGATCAGAACCATGAACAATTCTGTCTGGATGATTTTTTTCTCCTCTGGGATCCCAGCCCCGGATTTGCTGTCAGGGGAAGAGAGTGGACGTGCTTCCCTCCAACTTTGCCTGCAGTGGAGTAATAGTCTTGTGGGGGACTAATCGGGCTTTGCACAAAACTTAGCAACAGGAATCAGTCATAGTTCACTTTGACTCTTCATTCATTCTGGGTGTTTGGAGAAATCATGCAATGGGTGCAGGACAGCTCTGCTGTAAGGACCATAGTTCTGCCAAGGTACAGCCCCTGCTTGCTCTTGGATTATGCATTCAGCTGAATGGAGCTCCATGGGCTGTCTCTCATGCCCACTTCTAATGCAGAGAGACTTGCAGGAGGTGGGGATGGCAGCAGCAGGGGGCCAGTGGGGGAGAGCTGAGCAGGTGAGCTTCAGCAACCAGTATCGTGACTGCACTAATTGTATACGGTGCTGTGCTTATTACAACACAGGAATAGGTTCAGGGTGATATTGTGTGAAAATAACCAAATGGAATCAACTTATAAATTCTACCCGGGGCTCACTTGAGACATCACTTAATCTCTCTGAACCATATTGCCTTCCTTTTAATGAAACTTCATGAATACTACATATCATCTTAAAGGGGTAGCCTAGCAATAAGGCTCAATAAATGAACACTTTTCAGTTATGAAGCAATGATGCTGTAAGAAACAAGTCAGCTCTGGCCTTCACACATTCCCAGCATCCAAAGAGAGATGATTTCCTTTTGGCTTAAGTAAAAAGAAGTCTGAAAGAGATTTTTCATTGGAATGAGTCCCCAAATTCCATTCCAATGTTTCCAGCCCAAATAAGCTACTTTTCTAGAGAGTTTATTTTAACAGTTAAGGTCTTAAAATTGCACCTGCTGGAGCAGAAAGGAGCGAACACATAGAATCTCCATTTCTTCTTTACAGTTACAGGAGATCTCTACGGGGTTGAGGGGCAGCTTGCTTTATGTAAATGACAGAAACCAGTTTGGGGGGGAGGCTGAGCTGGGGACGTGGGGTGCAAGTTCCCAATGTCTACGGGGGCATAAAAGTGGGGATTAGAGAAGCAGAACTCATCCTACTTTATAGTACAGAGTACTATACTATACTATAGTACTTTATAGTGTAGGCACAGAGGCCGGGGAGTGACAGTGTGAGAAGTGTGGGGGTGGGGTCCGTGTGGAGGTAGCTGGAGGAGGGGACGCTTCCCATTAGAGAGTTTTCCTCATTGCCATCGAAGCAACGGAAACATTGGTTTGGAAGCTGTGCTTTAAAAAAGAGAGTGCAGCGTATCTAAGCCTCTGGGCATCTTAGGTACCTGGCACTCGTTCTAGGAACAGAAATTCATTTAAAAGTCTTTTAACTTAAAAAGCAAAACAATCAGAACATATGTGTCCATTCACTTTTAGTTTTTAAAGAAAAGAGCTACAAAGTGGCCCCTGTCGCACAGCCTGATACCTTTCACTGCCCTTGACTCTCCAGCGCCCTGCACTAGCCTGTTAGTGTAGCCCTTACCTGGGCACTGCTCCCGGGGCCCAAGGATTGGAGGGGACGGTAATTGATCATGATGCGTCTTTCGTCTTTTGGTGGCCTCCACGCTCCTTTTGTGGGCACTCTTGTTGTTTTGGTTCTAGGATGGTGGTCAACACAGAGAGCAACATCCTCCTGTTCCAGTTTGAGCCCATAAAATGGCAGTACGCCAACGAAAGAAGTAAACAAAAGAAGCCTAAGGAGAAAGACGAAGAAAAGGAAGAAAATGGCCTTCTGGAAATTCTCTCCAAGTCTAGCACTCCGATTTACAGCCTGAGAGACTCTGTGTCCAGCAAACAAACTGTGACCGTGGACTTCCCATCAAGTAAACCTCACAAGCCCCGTGCCGTCCAGAAGTCAGCCAAGTTGTCTGCAGGTAAAGAAGCCAAACCCAGCGGCTTCAGTGATAATCAATGGAGGAGGTGAGGGGGGCCCAGGACTGGTTTCTCTGTGGGATATTTTGGCCAGTGGTTTCCTGAGCTATAAATCCTAACCCTTCAGGAAGGTCAGACCCATTCTCTTTGATCTGCCAAACTACTAATATTTGTTAGCCTGATTTTCAAAGCCTAGATTTTCAAACTTATTAGAATCTTTGTACAGTAAGTAGGTAAGACCAGCCTTAATACTTGCCATTAAAACAAAACAAACAAACAAACAAACAAACAACATCCTCACCCCCCAAAAGTCAAACACATAGTAAATATAACTATTTCCTCAGGACAGAGACAAGAAGTAACTATAAGCAGAGAAGTGTTCTATACAGAATGTCTTCTCTTTAGAACTCCGAGAGAGGATATGTGTAGTTAGAAAATCTTAGTTATAAAGCCAGGGGTGTGTGTGTAAGTGCGGGTACAGGCATGGCTCATGCCATTTATAAGACATACAAAGGATAAATTATGTGTAGGTTAGGGTAGCAAGCCTCCTTTTTGTCTGTCCTGTCTTTGGCATGTGAAATTGGATCTACAGATCTATAGAGAACACCAATAGATCTTTCCCAAGCACATCGAACGACATGCAGCCAGCTCCCTCTTGAGAAGAGGCACCCAAGAGTTTCGGATAATGCTTAAGCTTGATAACTCAGTGGGAAGTGGGTGGGAGGGGAGCCAGGGTGTGATCTAGACCTGAAACTCCAGGTGACTGGTTAGTTCCTATGGCAATAAATGATATGGCCCTGGGTATAAAAAATACAGCTGCAGAGAAGGAATTAGTCCCAGTGCTGGACTGCACAGTGGGGTAACTATGGTTAACAATAATTTATTGTATATTTCAAAATGCTAGAAGAGAAGACTTGGAATATTCCCAACACAAAGAAATGATAAATGTTTGAGATGATGGATAGCTTAATTACCGTGACCTGATCATTACATGTATACATGTATCAAAATATTGCATGTGCCCCATAAATATGTACAATTATTATGTGTCCATAAAAACCAAAATGGTGATATTTGGGATGAAAATCAGTCCAATTATCAGCCCTCATTACTGATTATAGTATTATTATTATGCCTTCATCATTCACACCTAACTGAAGTAGATCATGACTACAGTTTCTTCCTAAATCTCAATTCAATTTAGCAATGTTAACAGAACAAGGTCAAATTCAAGAAAGGCTAAAATCGCCCCAAAGAGATAGCAAGAAGACAGCTTATTCTGCTCATAAAGAAGCACATGGCTTGGATGGTAGGCAAGAGACTTTGGAAGTAAAATCTGAGGCAGGAGGTAAGACAAATGGTAACACCTTATTCTGAGTCAGTGGTGAGATCAGAACTCATTCTCTCTCTTTCTCTGTCTCTGTCTTTCTCAGTTTTAGTTTTGTTTTCCAGCAGGCCAACAACTTTACTTATCTTTCAGAATTCAGAATGAATGTGATGCCTGGCTTCTCCTAAGAGTGACTGGTTTTCCGTAATTGTCCCCTTACTATCTTGAGGCCATAGAGGGAGAACCTTTCTAAGACCTGAGTTTCCAGTTTTGGGCTCACAGCCTGCCACTGTTCCTGGCCCGTCAGCTTCCTCACTTCTTGGGGGCAACGGTTGAGCAGATAATGAAAAATCTATATTATTGATTATTATATATAGCTAAAAATTGTTTGAGGAGGATCCATATATAGTAACTTGGAAAGAGATCCACAATATATTATCATGTTAAAAAAAGACAAATTAAAACAATGAGCTTATCACAATTCTCTTTTTTTATAAAAATATAAAAATTATATGTTCTTTGGAGTTTGAAAGGAGAGCAGGGAAGATTTTGATATCTTATTTTCACTCAGTTTTATATATTATTTATTTATTTATTTATTTTATTTTTGAGACAGAGTCTCACTTTGTTGCCCCGGCTAGAGTTCCATGGCATCAGCCTAGCTCACAGCAACCTCAAATTCCTGGGCTCAAGTGATCCTCCTGCCTCAGCCTCCCTATGCCCTGCTAATTTTTTCTATATATTTTTAGTTGGCCAATTAATTTCTTTCTATATTTTAGTAGAGACGGGGTCTCACTCTTGCTCAGGCTGGTCTCGAACTCCTGACCTCGAGTGATCCGCCTGCCTTGGCCTCCCAGAGTGCTAGGATTACAGGCATAGCCACCACGCCCAGCATGGTTTTATATAATATAATAAAAAATATTGTTTAATTAGCAAGGTAAAGGTCAGGGAAAAATTTGAAGTTTCTGTCCTGATGTGTCCACACACAAACATCTTGAGCTAAAACCTAACCGGCCAAGGAAAATTATATACTTAACACACCATTGCATTTTATTCCCTGGTATAGCTTGGGGTACAGATTTTACTTGCTAGGTCAGACTAGGCAAATGAATTCTACTTTTCATGACTCAGTTATTCCTTTTTGTAAAATGAGAATAATGCCTTCAGTGCTTCTGTGTGGTATTGTAGAGACTGAAAAGCCCAAATGGGAAAGATGTTATCGATTTGCTCACCTATGAAGACATTTTTGTTAACTTAATGGTCTTAGACACCTCTGAGGCCTTGATCACAAAACAGTATGGCAGAGGGAATCTCTTATTCTGGTCAGTGGCTTTTGGACTTGCTGCCATTGTTCAAAATATTTTGGGAACTCCTCTGGAGGAACCGTCTTTTAGTCATGTTATGATTATTTTGCATTACCCAAAGGTGATATATTCTTTGAAGACAGGTTTGATTTGGGGAAAAATCTAAGATTATTTGGAGTCAAATTTGATCAATAAGTAGAAATCACACTTTGCAATACAATTGTTGTTGAAAAATACAGGTATGTTACTACTATACATTTACAAACCTGCTTTGTGTGAATCATAAATGGTGTGTGAAGGTCATTTCCCAAAGGGAAGTTTCAAAAATATGTGGACCGTTGGAATCACATCTAGAGGCTAATACAGACTTTACACAATACTAGCATATTTATTAAAAACTTCTTTTGTTAAATCATTTCTGGTATCGCCATTTCTGATATCATTGGGGATGTCTGCCCACGTAATGGCATGCTTGTTAGGCAACAAAGACTTCAGTGTGCCTAGCGGTTAGAATGGTTCTAACTTTCATGCATGAGTACTTAATATTTTCCATGGAGTGCTGATTTTTTTTTCTTTGAATAAGCAGATGATGTGATGAAAGTACAAAAACGAGGACAACTGGAAACTCCTGGAGACCTGATCCATCACCCAAAGAAAAAGTCCTGGAAAATGCCTATGTCACCTGACCGGTTCCTCCTGACTGTCAGTGCCCTGCAGCAAGCTCATAATTCCGGGGAATTTGCCTATCCCCATAGGCCCCAAACCCAAGTCATTGATGCCTGGGGACCTTCAATCTCGCACAAAAGGAAGGTCCTGAATTTCAAAGGAAAATCAGTCCAACATGCAGTTGATCGGTTGAGATTCAGCACTCCTCCCATTGATGTGAAAAAAACCAATGTTCCTCTTGAAACTCAGAAACTGCAGCCCAATTTGAAGAAGTCTTTGCACAGTCCCAGAGTCCAGTCCACCATCCCCCAGCCCATGATTATCCGCCCCAAGTTCTCAGGCAGCTTAAAGGAAGACCAAATGATCAGCTCAACTGAAGGGGCAGTGCGCCGTACGGGCCCCCTGACCAGTTTGCAGGTCATCAGACAGCACCACATGCTAGCTCCACAGGTGAGCACAGCCACCTTGTCTCTCAAGAAAGAACGGGGTCGCTTCTGCACAGCCCTTGATCCCCTTAGAATGAACACCGGGTTCATGATGTTGACCATGAAGGAGGAGAAAGAGTACGGGGAAGCCAGGTTGAAGGAGTACCAGGCAAGGGAGTCCATTGCAGTGGTTGATCCAGGAAAAGCCAGCAAAGCTGCGTGGATCAGGAAGATCAAAGGCCTGCCTATTGATAATTTCATGAAGCTGGGGAAAACTGCAGCCCCTGAACTTGGACAAAATGTATTTATCTAAACTAGCCTTGGGAAATTACCATGTCTTACGATAAACAGAAAGCCAAGTCAGGTGGATGTTGGTGTTTGGCCTTTTTTTTTTTTTTTACTATTTCCTCCTTGGTAATTACAATTAACATGAGAACTCCTAATTATCTTCCTATGAGCCCAAGAATTGATATCATCAAAGTAAGAATTGGAAGGAGTCTAGGAGAGATCAGCATTTGTATTCCCACTGAAAACCATTCAGTGAGACTTAGGGAAGCCTAGTTTCATTGATGGAGGGTGGGAAGGTGATCACTGGAAATTAGATATCATTACTAGTTTAGGGCTATGAGTTCTTCCAGCAAATCAAGTGCTGGAATTATGTCAGGATAATGCATTGGAGTTTCCTGGTATTTTTGTGTAGAAGACTGATGAAACTCAGTGAATTCAGTTAAGAATCTAAAAGGGGAAGCTATCAACAGGGCTGACCTATTGCATTGGAGAGTGTTTTGTGTGCTTTTCCTTCTCAGGGCTATGCCTGTGGAAGAGAATTAAACATGTTCTTCCTGTCTACAAAGAGGGACACTAATATTGAGTGTGTTGCTGTTTCTGCTTAAACCTTTGGAGGATGGTGTCAGGGACCAGATGAGTAATTCAGAAGAGTGCAGCCTACCACGGGGCTATGGCCCATTGGCGAGCGCAAGCCCCATACAAAGCCTACTACTACTCAGTGGCTCAGCAAGGCCTGATCTTTTGCCTCTTCAAGAAAAGCCAGAAATTCATATTTTCCTGAGAAATGCCATACATTTTAAAGGATGGTAATGAATTCAAATAGAATGCATATAAAAGCAAAAGCAACAAAAAGACAACTCCATGAACCCCCACAACAATGGGTGGGCCACTGAAAACATGCATGGGCAGGCTGGATGTACAGCCCGGAATTCACGGCTTCAGCGTTTCTTCTCCGAGGGCACCAATGCAATGGCTTTGCCAAGCGCGCTCTCCTTTGAGATGTGGGGTTCCCTCCTTCATTATTCAGGTATTAGGTTTAAGAAAGCACTGGCACACAACTTTTAAGTTGCGATTTTTAATGGAGAGAATCCCCTCGATTAAGGGAATGTGAATAAACTTTATTCCATGATTCTCCCAACAGCAGTCTGACTAGGCTCCACAGACAGGATATTGTTATCATCACCGTTTCAAAGACTTAATACCCCTTAAATTTCCCGTCCTTTGTCCTGGCAAGATCACATGATGAGCGGCTGGACCTAGAACAGTAGTAAGAATAACGTCTCCCATTTGCAAGACACTTACACCTTAAGGATACCACTGTCACCCCCACTTTATGATTGAGAAAAGAAGTACATAGAGATTGGTCATATAATTGGTAACAGAGGACCCACACCCTAAACTCCAGGGTGCCCGGTCTCTACTATTCCTTATTTTTTCCTGGCATCTAAGATTATTTTCCTTCCATAATAATTCCCTCCATCATCCGCTTGCCTGGTTCTTCTTAATAACGTTTTACCTGTTCCAAAGAGCACGTTTATTTTTTTAATTGGTTCTAAAATTTAAAGCACAAAATGTGATACTGTGCAAAAATACATGTCATTGTGTAACACTCAAAATTAAATTACGGCAAAATTAAGTCCCGACCCCTGCACTCATGGCGTGGACGCTGGCGGTAATGACTTTAGAGTTTGCACCCAGTAGATAGCAAACATTTCCCTGTAACAAACCACGACGCTTTCCCGTTCGAGCCTACGGTGGTCCTGGGCTCCTTCCCCAGCTCCTTCCCGCTCCTATCGGGGCCAGATTTCGCTCCCGCGAGGTCTGCCCTTTTCGCCCCGCCCCCAGTCAGCCCCGCCCCTGACGCCCCGCCCCCAGTCAGCCCCGCCCCTGACGCCCCGCCCCCAGGCAGCCCCGCCCCCAGAGTGCTCTTCCTGCGAGGCGCCTCAAAGCGGAAGGAGGGCGGGATGGGGGCTTGTATATGGGCCCCTCCTGCTCCGTAGTAACTGATTGCGTCAGTTCCGGTCCGGACCCGGCGGCCGACGCGCTGACGTGGCTCCCGGAAGTGGGGCTGGCGCAGGGTCGCCATGTTGCAGCAGGTGAGGGTCGCTGGGACCGGCGGCAGCTCTCGGGGCCGGCCCTGCAGGGTTCGTGGGGCGGGAGTCGAGCGTCTCCGCCCGGTACCCGAACTCGAGGAGGAGCGGGGTGCGTGGGCGGGAGTGGAGTGCCGTGTGCTGTTGTCCAGGGAGGGCAGCTGGGCGCTCCGAGGGCTCTGGTGGAGGCGTGACCCGGGCGGCGCGGAGCGGGGGCAGCTTGGGGCTGTGGAGAAGCCCATTGTCAGCTGACGTCGAGCGCTGGGTGGACCCTGTGCTGGGCTGCAGAAACGCTCCTGGGGTGAGGTTGCGGGTGGTCTTCTTGGCTCACCCCCAGTGCGTAAGCGGGGGTGAGGGGGAGCGGCCTGCGGGCATCTCTTAGCTCCCTCCTACTCTGACCTCTAGGGATGCGCCGCGATCTTTTAGGAATAGGCGACACTTCCAGAGCCCTGCTTTCAAGTTTCTGATAGCAAACTAACTTTGATGGCGATTATCACGGTTTTCCCCTTAGCGTTAGTTATAGGCCACAGGTTTACAGCTAAAGATAGTAAGATTAATAGTCTCCTCCTCTTAGGAAAAAATTACTGTTCATAGTCACTTAAATGACTATGTAAGTCATTTAACAGTAAAAATTACTGTTCATAGTCACTTACATTATCTTAAATATTTTTTCTTTTGGTTCACAAATAACTTCCTGAGGGATTACTATGGTCCAGACATGGTTCTAGGCTCAGGGATAGGGCTGTGAACAGTACAGATAGGTTTCTTGCCTGGAATTGTGAGGTTGGGGGGAGTGGGTTCTAGGAGACAGGGGGCAGTAAAGGAGGTGGGGTGACCTGATAAATTATATGACTAAAGATATTTTCAGATAATAACAGCAAAGACAGGGTGATGAAATAGTGAGTATCTGAGGATAGGACTTATGTTCAGAAAGACCACTTATGAGGAGATGACTTGAGTGGAGAAAATCCAATGATGGTTAAATTCAGCTCTCCGAACTTGCACCCAGGCCACATGAGGCTGGAGAAACACACAACCATGCTGACTGTTCCCATTTTATAAGTTTGTGATTATGAACCTCAAGTGAGCCCTCAGGGTGCTGCAATCATTTCTACATTTCCATAGTCCGCTTACTTGCCTACCTCCCTAGGCAGCTGTTAGAACTTGTCTCTTCTCAAACATTTATTCCCTTATTCTCTCTTAGCTGATAACCTTGCTTCTTGTTTCACTGAGAGAAGGAAGGCATCAGGAGAGAATTTTCACACCATCTGCCTACCTGCATATTTACCCATAATTTCCCATGTATTCTTTTATTGAACTGTCTTTGCCCCCATTTTTAAGCTCTCCCTTCTACTTGTTCACTGGTTTCCACCCCCCTCTTGCCTACTGGAAGGCATTGTTCAGCAGTTCTCTTTCCTGCATGGTCAGTGTTTTTTTTTCTTTCCTTTTTAAATCTTGTTCACATCAGCATATAAACATGCTTTAATTTCTCCTATCTTAAAAAACAAAAATTTGACCTCACATGACCTTTCAGCTGTCCCTCCAGTCTTTATTCCTTGAAAGACTTGTCTATATTTGTCTCTTAATTCTTCTATTCTCCCATATCCATTCTAGTTAGCCTTTTTCCTCCACCCCTGCCATACTGAACTGCCCTTATTGAGGTCACTGATGACCAGTTAAAATCATAGTGGTCACTTGGTTTTAATCTTACTTGTGAGCAAAATTTGTCACAGTTGGTCCAATCCTCCTCCTGGAAGCACTTCACTTGGCTTCCAAGACAACACCCCTCACCCTCTCCTGGCTCACCTCCCACACTGGTTGGGACTTCCTTTTCAGTCCCCACCACCTATTCCTTCTTTTCTTTCTGACCTCTAAAAATTGGAGTGCCTACAGCCTCTTTGGCATCTTTATCCTTTTAGCTGTTCAGAACAAAATCTCTGGTATCTTCCTTGACTCCTTTTTCTCTTACCTCCCATTCAACCCATCAGCAAATACTGTCAGCTCTACCTTGAAATGTATTTGGAATCTGTCTACTTTTCACCACTGTATCCACTCTGGATCAGTCCCCTATTTCTTGCTTCCATTATTGAAGTGGTCTCGTAACTAATAATGTCTTATTTTGTGTCTTTGTCTTTCCCCCTTCCCCCAACCTCCAGATTCTTACTACAGTAACCAGAATTTTCTGGATGAGTCAGAATGTGTCAGTCCTATGCTGGAAACACTGTAATGGTTCTCTCAGATTTTTTTTTTTGAAGTTCACATACTAGCATCTTAAGTTATCCAAATTCAAACTTAAGATTTTGGCCCCAAATCTGTTGTGCCCATGATCTTCCTCACTTAGTAAATGCAACTCAGAAAGTACAGTGCTGTTTGTCCTTTTTTTTTTTTTTTTTTTTTGGCTGTACACTTAAATCAGTGCCTGGCATATGGTGGGCCCTGTGTTTACTGAATGAATGGGAAAAGCCAGTCTTTCAAAGAGCAGGGTGAGAGGAGTGTTCTAAGACTGTGCAGAAGGACCTGATGGGGTATAAGTGTGGCATGTTTAAGGAACTAAAAAGAAGGCCAGTCTGGCTGGGGGTTAGTTACTATATAAGCTTCCTATTGCTGCTGTAGCAAATTACCATAAACTTAGTGCCTTAAAACAAATTTATTGTTTTACAGTTATGGTGGTCAGAAGTCCAAAATGAGTCTCAAGGAGCTAAAAGTCAAGGTGTGGGAAGGATGTTCCTTTTGGACGTGCTAGGGGAGAATCCATTTCCTTGTCTAATTACATCTGCAGAATTATTTTTTGCCAAGTAAATTTACATATTCATAGCTTTCAGGGATTAGAACCTAGACATCTTTGCAGGGGTGAGAGAAGGCATTATTAAGCCTAGTGCATTTAATGAAGGGAGAATGGCCTGAGATAAGGTCTTAGAGATGGTCAGAGGCCAGATAGATTGTGATAGCTTGAGATAAAGAGTTGTTTTTTTATTTGAAATGCTGTGGGTT